AAAGACCAGTGCCAGAGGTGGCTTTCACACCCCTTCACATAGGTTGACTTTCAGTGGAAAGAAACTTCAAACTAATATACTACATGTGCAAATCTCATTTTATCAATGACAACATATTACCAATTGGGAAAAATAAGTGGATATGGAAAAAAACCACAGAGGAAAGGAGTGAGTAAAGAAAGGGTTAAATATCTTGAATAAAATACATTGTTTACTTCTGGAATTCCACATCCTTTTGTCTCTACAGTCATTTCGGTATGAAATTTAAAATCATTGCTTCTATCATAGTTTGTCATATATGTGAAATCTAACACGCAGCATTAATAAAATCAAATGTCCAATTTAAAATAATGCTTCTGATTAAGATGACTTTAGTATGCATTGCTTTCAGCAACTGCAAAATGCCTGCCTTGTAAAACTAAAGAAATAACGTTAATAATAAGTGCTGACATTTTCAAATGAAGACCCCAGGGTTATAATTTTCTAGTTAATAATAAATAGCACTCTCAATAAGCTAAATGATATTTCAGTTTTCCATTTAACATTGACAGGATTCCTTTCAGGGGTGCAAACAATGTCATTTATTGTAAGATTAATAAAGCTAATTAGTTATGGTAGTCAAGCTTTTCCTACTACAGTTGGAATTTTTGTTAGACATTCAGCTCTTGCAGAGGTGAAGAGGGCTGACTTGAAGGACAGAAAGCAGAGGCAAGAAGTATGGATGTGCAGAGTGATATTTATACATGAGAGCTGGAAAATTGAGACCTGATCAAAAACTCATTGACCCAAGCAAAAAAAATCTCTCTCAGACACATCTAGCTTTTGAATCAAGGCTTTTGAATCTTTAACAGTAAAGCCCACTCATGTAAATCGTTGCCTGAACATATTCTCACCATGGAAAGAGAAGCCACTGACTAACCTGAAGGCCTGTTGTGTAGAGAGGAAGTAAAGTAATGGAAAAAAAAGGTGGAAATCTATCTTCAAATCATCCATAGTGCACAGAACTGTAGTCACCAAGCTGTGGTCATAAACTTCAAAACTGTTTCTGTCTGAACTTTCCGTAGTTAAAAGGGTGGATTTTCCAGCTCTCCTGCTGAAATGCTGCTGAAAACCTCATATTCAGGTTTTCACCCACAGAGATTGGGTTTTGCTTCTGGTTTTCTGATGTAGGAACAGATTCATGTAAGCTTTCCTAGGAACATTTACAGAGAGTAACTCACAATTCTGAGTCTCTAACAGATGATATCTTAGTTGTTTTATAAAAATAAATTTTCAGAATAGCTCTACTGCTCTTAAACTTCCTGTCTTTCATGCTCTTTCTCACAAGATAGTTCTTGACTTGAGGTCACTCTGATATACCAATTGTATCTCATCTTAATGATTCCTGATAATGCGGTGTCTCGGTAAGAAATTCCTCTGGTTAGCTGGTGCATTGTTGCCTGAACTAAGGCAAATAACTCCATTCCTAACATTGGTCTCCTAAGTTAGAAAGCACATTTAAGAGTGAAAAGGATGGAAGGGCAAATGGGCAGAAGGAAATTGATCTGTCTGCATACCTGCTCTTCAGCCCTTGAGTTGTAGCTGTTTTTTTTTTTTTTTTTCCTTTCTTTTTTAACCTGAAGATTTATGTGATGTACTTGTTAACTAGTTCCATATTTAGTTTTACTTAAATTTGTCTTACTATGATTTTTCAAAAGCCATTGCTGGTAAGTGCCTACATGCAAACTCAAATGAGAGCTTTCCATCTTTCTCAGAGTAAGTTTTACAATGACCAGTTCCTCCACACCATTTTATAATCACAAAGGATCATTAGAAAATGCAATAGAATTCATTCTTATTGGAAGAACATACGACCTGCTGCTTACACTTTCTGATTTCAGCTTTACCCTCCAGGAAGATCCCAAGTTTTCCAAATGCCCTAACTTACATCACAGTTTGACACGGTGCTGTGATTCACTTTGCACTAATTGCAGCCTCAAGATTTCCTGAAAGAACAGTCTTGGTGAAAGACATAATCTGCTACACCCCAGGGGAACTTCCAATCACTATGCCAAAGAATTCAGTGTTTACAGAGGGCTACTTGGAAGGAAGATACTCCAACATTTAGAAATCATCTGCTTTAAATTAAACTGATGTTTCTTGTTGCTGTTTTTTGTAGCTTGTTTATGCCTTAAACTCTGTGATCAAAGTGTTCATTCTTCCAATTGTTTTGTTTCAATAATAACCATTAAAAAAATCTTGCTTTTCATGTGTTTTCGGATGACAAAAAATAAGATTCATAAACAGATCTTTTTTTTTTTTTTTCTTTTTTAACTGTTTCTTTTAACTGTTTTATTGGCCAGTGGCACAATAGCTTGGCTGTATTTTATGTATCTGCACCTTTCCATTCATAACAATGAGGCTAATTCTGCATTACTCACGGCAGGTAAAATCCCAGACATCAAAGTGTCACATCTGCCCTGTGAGAAAATGAAGGTCAGCCTTAAAAGTCACATAGTTATTAGTGCATAAAGTGATGTCAAGAAGACTTAAGGATGTATATCTGTATTAAAATATAACATTTTTGTCAATGGCATTTGGGTTTCACAGCATTAAAATTGTTTCTGTTCTCTTTCAAAAACAGATGTTCTGCCTTAACTCTAAATTATCCTCTCTTAATGGAAACTTACATTACAAAGAAATACAATCCACAAGAACTGTGCAGATCAAAAATGTCCCAAATCTGAGGGTATATAATGATAGCATATCTACCCAGTGATCTACTCTCCAGTGATAGGAAAAGAAAAGGAACAATTCGTGATTGCATGCATTAAATCTTGAGTCATGCAACTGCTGTGAAACACACTGTTGTTATGTGGGTGGGGAGCATGGTTTGTCTTTCCATTAGGAAACAAAAAAGTTTTTGGAGAAAAGCACAATGCAAGGCTGGAATTCAGGGGAATGATTCTGCTGTAAATTCATTTTAGCTGAGAATTGAGAAAACAAATTAGGAAACACAACATATTTCTACCTGCTCTTGCTAAAACACTGTATGTCACTAACATTAGGACACATTGTTAATCAGGTCCATATCTGCTACAGCATTTCTCTCACCACATTTCTTCCTTATGAATACATGATGGCCTCCACCCATCCCACTGAAGCACAGTGCTCTCATGCTCCTGAAAACAGCCCAAAACCTCAGAGAGCATTCAAGCATTCAAGGTCTTCCGGGATTTCCACGATTTTCTCCTCATTTTCCAGATGGGTGCCTTTCCCATCTGCACTGTTCCATAGAGAGAAAGATGCCTACCTGTTACAACCAGGTATAAGGAGAGCAGGAAGATACTGCCATTCAGCGTTCCTAGTTGTATTTCAGGACACTTGGAGAGGGCAAGAATGAGCAAAGCTAGACATAGGAAAAAAAAAAAAGGCTCATTTGCATCACCAGAATAAATGTTTTCTGCATTATTATATAAATGCCTTGGTCATGTATTATAAGAACAGCAAAATAAGTGAAAAACCATTGCTGTAACCAGGGTGGGGCCTTATTACTGGTAGATTACATGCAGAAGTGAACTAATGCTTTTTGGCAGCAAAATGCACTATCAAATGCAAGTCTTTAAACATATGCAACACATTCACTGCGGAGTGCTGATTGCAAAATTGACCTTGGGATGGTTTAAAAAACCAATTAATTGACAATGAGCATTTTGAAGTTACCTCTCTCCTTAGTACTGTAATGATCCCAAAAGGCAAAAGAGCAACTGCAAAGAATGTCAGCAGTGAGAATACGCAGTACCCTTGGAACCTGACTCCCAAACTGATGAGTTAATGTTTAGAAACTCTGTGATTATTTTTCAAATACTAGTAAGTTTGTCAGGTATGGATGCATTTGTGCCTAGCCAAAGATGTAGTTCTGACCTCAGCAAATCTCTACTAAATTACAGACAGTTTCTCAATCAAATAATGTATTTTGCTTTTTTGTTTCGTTTTGTTTGTTTGTTTGTTTGTTCATTCTTAAGCAACAGAAGCTTAACAACAGTGTTCTGTTCCCTAAATGTGCTCTGAAGTACAGCTGAACTGTGTCAGTTGGATTTTTTCATAGCAATTACCCCTTAAAGCACTGACACGTGTTTGCTGTGCAAGATGTGGTGGTAATTTAAAACGTTACCATCCTTCTGCCACAATTATTTTATCTCAAGCAGTGTTGGAAGTACAGAATATAGGATTGTTTCACTGGTTTGTAGCAGAACATGGTGATTTAAAATAGAATCATAAAGGTTGAAGATCATCACTCAAATCATCTACTCCAACCATCAACCCACCAATCCAACCATCAAATGTCTTTAAACACAAGGCTAAGCTAAACCACCTTACGATGTTTCTAAATTTACTTTGAAATAACCATATTGGAGATGGAGACATTTTCATTTATGCTCACTGTGCCACACTGTCAGCTCCTTTGATACTGAAGAAAAGATCAGCTAAAAGCATTGGTTTAGGAGAGCTACTAACTATGAAAATAGAATTTAAAAACAAATCAAGAGATGAGGCATATCTGCTGCAGCACTCCAAATTTCATCTTTTTCTCTTGATGCAAACTCACTGAACTAACTGATGCTTGCCTTTTATAGTTTCAGGTGGAAGACCCAGACGTGATCAGGTCTTTTCTGTGCCCCTTTGGATGGAATTTAATACGATCTGTAGGTATTTTTACTCAGTGACTTAAATTTCAGCACACCTCAAACAGTGCTTCACAATGCCACAAAGCGACGGAGAAGTGGGATGCTGCGAGGGCAACGTGCTGGCTTGAGATGGATTACAAATAAATACGCAAATAAATATATTTACAAAAAGTGCAGCCAGTCTCTCCAAGATCACTTTTCTGTCAGAAAACCAACAGCCCGGCCTCGCTGAAGTGGCCAAGGGTCTGGCGTGCCTCGGGCTCCATTTCGCGGGCTCACAACAGCCTTCGGGGCGGCCTCGAGCCGGGGAGTCACCGCCACCAGCAGCGCCGGGGAATGCAGCGGACACCTGAGAGCGGCCGCCTGCCCTCGGGGCTGAAGGCGGAGGGCGTTGCTGCGAGCGCTGGGGCGGCTCCCGCACAGGCAGCCCGCGGGCCGGCCCCACTTCCCCGCAGGCGCAGGGCGGGAGGGTTCCCGCCGCGAAGGGAGAGCCGCAGAGCCGCCCCGCCGCGCCTCCTGCTCGCAGCAGCGCCGGGAGCCTCCTGCCCTCCCGCCGGCCAAGGTGAGTCGGGGGAGAGGGAAGCGTCGGCCCCGACGGAGTGGGCGGGAGGAGGTCTGGAGGCGCCCGGCTGCGGTGGGGGTGCAGCGATAGCGGTGCCGGAGCGGGGAGCAGCGGAGGGCCCCGTTCCGGCCGGGGGACTCCCGCCTGTCGGAGGGCGGGAGCCGGCTGAGGGGAGCGCGGCAGCCCCACCGTCGGGCGGGTCGCTCCCCGCGGGGCTTCCGACGGCGGGCGGGGCCGCGGCGGGTGGCGGCGGTACGTAGCGGTGGGGCCCCGCGTTCTCCTTGAGGAGGCCCGCACCGCGTGCTGCCTGCACGGGAATGCTGGGGACGTAAACGCGTACAGACAGTCCCCACGAGGTCCAATCCAAAGGTTTCAGCTTTGGATAAAATTTGGACGCTGGAATGCCTCCTGCCAGCAAAATACGCAGGATGCCATCACACCGTGACACAGTTTGACTTGCTGAGGACCGTTCCTGCCCCACATTGCTCCCATCTGGAGTTGATGTGGCTCCTGCTTGTTCCCTCTTAACCTCAGCTTCTGATATTTTGGCACTCGTTTTTCCTCTTTGGTTCTAGCTCCCCTTTGTGAATGATGTGAAACCCATGTTTTGCCATCTGTCCCCAATCCAAAAAAATACCTGCTTCAAATCTGACCCCGTGAGCATCACTGTTAGCTGGTGTAGGTGTGGCATTAGCAAGGCTGGGCACAGTGCAGTGCTCCATCAGACCTTGCAGAAGGCTGTGCTGGGCGATCTGCTCCACCTGTACAGGCTCCCACTTGTTCACCTTCACTGACTTTACAAACTTGTTTTCTAGAAACTTGGTAAAGAATGTGAATTTGGGTTAAAACTTAGTTTAAAACAGAATGTTTAACTTCATTCTTCTATTTCCCCTCGTGGGCTTGCTAAGGAGACTATTGCACTTAATTGTACCTCGTTCTTTGTGCAAGCTTTGCTTAAAAATGGAGATAATGTGGTTAGAGATATGGATTACAAATATCTTTGGGACGTTTAGTCAACAGAATGTTGCAGAGAGCTGAGTAATCCTTGCTTTATGTTCTTAAAGAATTTGGGTCCATCTGGGACCATGGAAAATTGTACTGACTCTGAAAGGGTATTTTTAATCATTTCCCCTTCCTTATTTCTTTTTCAAATGCCTCCTTGGGTACTGCAGATACTTCTGGCATTGGGAGAAAAATTTGACTGAAAGCTCAAAATTATTATTGGGCAAATTGTGTTTTAATTGCTCATGCTGGAATTTGTGATTATTTGCTGTGCATTATCTTCAAGCAGAATATGAGTCCTTTGAAGTACTGGTTTATTTAATTATCAAATATTTATTCCTGCTCAGTTTGACTTTTACTGGTTAAAAGACTAAATCCTACTATAATTGAGCAGTATCCAGTAGATCGCATGCAATAACTCATGCATTTATGAGTCAGTGGAGAGACTTGATCTTTCTTAACAAGTAAAGCTTTAGAAACTAATACATTTGGGGGGACAGGAACTTGCACAGGGAGGCAGCAGCATGAGCACAGGGGGCAGCTAGTTTAGCCATGGTCTGAGGTTTCTTAGGAAGTAACAAATTTCCCAAATTCACTAAGATTTTGTTTTGCTGTTTTTCACCTTTCCTGTTAGCAGAAAAGGAACTGATGTCTTACAGCTATAATTTAGTATGGAGTGAGGAGAGAGGTGAGGCTTGGTGCAGGGATCAGCAGTTGTATCTGATCTTGAAAGTATCTGAGAAGGCTACTGATCTGGTGTGCTCCTGGAGCTGAGAGGAGGGACTGCTTCATTCAGGAGGGAACCTGTCTGTTTGCAGATCACAAATATCCATCATTCAAGGAGGAATCTGGGAACATGGATTTTCTTGAAAGAGCAGTTCTATTTCAGAGGTTCTATTACAGGGATATACCTAAATTAGATTTTACTGCTTATCATTCAGGTCCTTTCCAGCTCACTCTGCAAACTATCGATATTTTTCTTTCTGGTAAATCTTTTCATCTTCCATTTCATAACATCTTGACTTGTTTTGTTTTATGCTTATCTGACCTGTAGTGACATTGACTTCACGTTGTCAGGTGCTGATCTGAGGCAAAAGTGAAACTCAGCTTTTTGGTTGCCTGCAACAGTATACTGTCCTTAGCTTGTTTCTTTTTGAAGACTTCTAGTGACAGTGACATGCATCCATGCAGATGACCCTTCCCACCTCCCAAAGTACTTGCTGGACTTTATAGGCAGGGTCCTCCTCACTCAACTTCAAACATTACCATGTTAGTCACCAGAGGTTTTAGTTACCTTTATGGTCGACTGAGAAAGAGAGAGATGCTTGTCAAATTTCTGAGTTCTGCTGCTCAGTTTTAGACAGCTACTCATCATGATCTGTTAAACTGCCTTTGTTTCTCTTCACTGACTGAAAAAAAAAAAAAATGTCTAGGATAAGGAGATTGGATGCAAATAACGAGATTGGATGCAAATGTTGTAGAAACTCCACCATATGTCTTTTCATGATTAGGAGTGACCCGTTTCTCCTGAAAAAGCAAATTTTAGCCAGCTTTCCTTATCATCCTGCATATTGATTCCTGACTACCCTAGATATTAGTTCATCTGCTAGAGTGGAAGTCATTACACTGTGAAAGAAACAAAGGTGCCTATGTCCTCCTCTCCTGTTAGGAGACATTTGCACATTTGCATGAACACCCATTCCTCACCACAGCTTAATACTAATTTGTAGCATTGCTAATGAGCCGTGAATGAAAAGGAAATAAGTAGTTTTTATCTGACTTACAACTTTAATGTGGGAATTCGCACACTAGCTTGGTAATGATTGTTGAAAAATGATTGTTTGTCATTAGTTTCTAAGCCTTTCTTTTGAAAATTGATCTTTTAGATTGGTGGCAAGCAGTCATAACTTTTGCTACCAGAAGCCACATCAGATGGCAAACAGCACTTTTTCTTCTTGTTGAAAATTGATACAGCATGCCATGAGTTTAGCTTCAAATAAATCAGTGTAACAGTTATTAAGGTAAAAAGGAGTGTTTGGGGGAGTGGGTGCATTATGAATCCTAGAAGAAAAAGAAGACTCAATGTGTATGAACTTTTTTTTTCTATGCAACTTTGTTTAGAAATATATCCAGAGGCATTACTAGTCTAAGTTTTGTATCCTCAGAGTACCTGCATTTTTTACTTTTACCCTGTGTATTTGCTTGCAGTCTAAAGCAGTAGCTGTAAAGCCATGACATGTAACACTAATATCTCACTGTGTATCTGCTATCAGTGATGAGCTGACCCTTTGTGGCTAACAACACTGGCCAAGGAAAGTTCTCAGTTAAACTCAGACCATTTAACTGACATAATAAACACAAAATGTTTATTTGGTGAAATTTTTTTCATCTTACCCACACCTGCCAGGAAGAGGGGGAGAATACAGGGAACAAGTCTGCAAATAGCAACACTGCTAGTACCCTCGAGCTCAGAGAGATAAGAATCATAATCATAATGGCACTAACTGGGTGCCTTTACTAACGAGAGTTGCAAATGACTTTCTGAGTCTCCTGTTTTAGGCAAAATGGTGTCTGCTAGAAGGCAGTTTGCCAAGGGAGTAGGAAAGGTCCACAGAACAGTCCCTGTCAGCCACTTGCTGGCATGCAGTCCATAGCAAATGAAAAGTTGCTTCTCAGTGGCCTTTGTTGTTTGATTTAGGTGCTCGTCTTTGGTAGCCCAGGGTACAGACACGTTATTACTTTTCTTCTTCTGAGAAGGATTTTTGTAACCTTTCCAGCATTACAAGGCCTGCCCCATTCTCTTGCTTGGTGTGGGAATTTCACTGAAGCACAGAGTCAAGAAGGATGCATGGGCCCAATAAGTCCTTCTAAATGTGTTTTTGTGGAAATGTGTCAGGAAAGAAAAGAGTGAGGCAGTGGCATTTCCTTATCATGGAAGGAAAACCATACAGAAATGGAACAGTTATGGACATGTCACAAGATTCTTCTCTAGCTACATTTTCTTCCTGTTTCCTCTGTGTGGTTTAGGGCTTGCTGGTCTGTGGCAAGGCAGCCACAGCCATACCAATATAGCACCCCATCTGGGTGACTCCAGGCTTCCTCCTAGCCTAGAAATCTTTGTCTGAAATGTATTACTTATTGCTGTTTCTGATCACAGTGTGTTTTGGTGAAAAAAAATACTGTGCTTAAAGTTTGTATGGTAACTTTCATTCCTTTTATTCCCTTTCTAAATTTGTCATGTTGTTTCCATTTTCTGATATTTGGCATTCCTTCATTCAGTAGAATATTGGGGGAGGTGGGCAGGTTTTCCCACATTGTGGATCCATCTGTTGCTTTCTCTCTCATGTGTGGGCTTCCGTTTTATGGTGGTTAGCCAGTCTGTGAATGCAGGGTCAGTCTGCCTGTGGATTTGAAAGCTAAATATCAAAATATTTGTTTAGTAGGGAGCCACAAGACAAGCCACCTATCACTGGGTGACCTGGGGATGAGGGAATTCTGGGAGTAGCTTAATGATAGCAATTGGGAATGAAATCCTTAGCCATCTTCTCCATTTCTGGGCAGCGTGAGGCTAAGCATCCAGATGTGCTGGATCCAGAATATACCAACAATTTAACTTTTTTTCCTTGGTGGCAATTTTTAAAAATGCAAAACAGTGTTGTTTCATCGTGTTAGTTATGTACAGCTGTGTTGGATAACTGGGAAAAAAGGAAAAAAAAAAAGGAAGGAAAAAACAACCCCAACATCAGCAAACATAGATTATGGGAAGGAACATGGAAGAGGATAGATAGAAGTAATTTGTCCAGCTTGCTGCCTTTTCCAGAAGATAAATCGGGGCAGTGGACATCCTTTTGCTGTGTGCCAGAAATTTGGCTTAGAACTAGGAGTTGTTTCTCCAGCCAATTCTGCATGAAGATGGCTATCATTTAAAACTTGGTGGAGAGTTTGTGCCCTCTGTATAGCTCACAGTAGGAAAATCCCCAAGCTGGACCATTCTGCAG